TATATATATATATACTTAGCTTATTATCATAGTCGTGGGTTGACGGTATAGAATAAACCAACCCAAACACGACCCATATAACTATGCAGGTCATGGATTGGCGGATCACAGATTAACAGGTCAAATTCAGGTTCGTGGATCGGATAAATATAATTTGCTTGATAGTGAATTGATCCGGTTTTATTTTCGAAGTCTTATTAAAAGTTATTAATGTAAGTTACAACCTGAAATGACCCTGACATTTTCACTTCAACAACAAAAACAAGTCTTTACTAGTAAAAAAATGTTATTGTCACTACCGCCCAACAAACTTTAGTACATTGGTTTAAATGTTTCTTCGTGACTATTTTTTGCATTTGAGGGGCATGTACTTATGTTTTTATGTTTTAAAAGGTCATTTTTAAAAATTTAAAGGGGTTACCGATGACACCCATCATACCTTGCACTTTACCAATTCGACGTCATTGGCATCTAGATTAAAGAAGTCCCATCGCTGTTATCACAGATAGAGAACAACAAAAATGAAAAATATCTCAACTTTTTTTACAATATTCCACGCAAACCCTTCAATGGAACCACCATCAGAGCTTCAACCATCAAAATCCAATACAACCCATAATTCCTCATCTCGTTAATCACTCTGACCCCAAAACCAAAACCCTTTTTCCCGAATCTTCATCTGAGAGCAAATCGCCCCATTCCAATCGATTTAATGTTTACCCTAGTTTTTCATTTGGGTATTTCTTGAATCCGATTTCTTCATCTAGGTTCATGGATTTAATAGATCAGAAATGGAGATTCTTAGCTCTTCATTTGTGATCTTCTCCTTGAATGTTGTGAAACTGCACACCCTTCAAAGAAATCCAATACTGCAGTCTCAAGATCTTCAACAGAGTACTTGATGTAATTTTCAGGGTGCCTCCCACTCTCTATATGACTCCTGAATCTCCCAAGAAACCATCTGTAGGCTGGAATTAGTAGATCAGAAATGGAGATTCTTAGCTCTTCACGAAGCTGTGTATCTGGTATTAGCCCTAAAGCTTGAGTTTTGTGAACGTATTCAAACATGGCATTAAAGGACTTGAATCGTTCTCTCAAAACAGTTTTTGAAACCCAGTTGAGAAACTTCCACTCACTTGTAACCCTTCAT